GTATTACTAAATAGACCCATTTTTATAATCAGAAACTTAACCACAATTCATGAAATTATTTCCCAGTTTCATTTTTGTACTGTAATATTACACCAAGATCTTGGCCATCATTTCATACTACTTATTTCAAGTAATTTCTCAGAAGTAGACCCCTCAGGCTTCCTTGATAGAACAGATTATTTTTAAGTTATTTAATTAAGACTACCAAGTTACTTTTAACCTGTTTTATATTGTTATCAGTGATCTATAAAAATGGCTATCTCATTAAACTTTAGTTCACAATATAATTAATATAATTTCTCATTCACATTTTCCTCTGTCTGAGGTTGAATATTTAGCCCTACTACATTGTCTTTATAACCAGTCTGGTTTGTCTTATATTCCTTTCCAGAGGGGAAACTTTCCTTTTGTTTACTGACAGTTTTTCTGTTGACATAAAGATTCATTGGTTTATTCTTTTTAAGGTAATATATGTAGTGTTGAGAATTAGAGATTTGAGTAATTTAGATAAACAGCAAAGAGATCCTTCACTTGGTGAGATCTCTTGGCTTGCTTCTCTTTCTTGTCACTGCAGTTTTGTTATTGTTGCTATGTCCATAACTAAAGAGGAGAAGGGATGCAGAGAATAAATCCCAGAGATCTTAGTTCATGCTTCTCTTTAAGATGAACTATTGGAAGCTGGGCACTGTAGTGCACACCTATGATTGTAGCACTCAGAAGGCTGAGGCAGGAGAATCACCATGAATTCAAAGCTAGCCTGGACTCCATAGTGAGACGCTGTCTCAAAGTCAAAATAAATAAAATGAACTGTTGGAACACAATCTTTTTGTAAGTTGGGGACTTTCAGGACACCACTGGAGGAATCTCAAAATACGGATTTTTTTTTTTTAAGTAAAAGTTACTCATTTTGTTCACAGATCTATTAAGTTCCCTGCTGGAAAGCATCAGATATTGCTTGGGTTTTGTTTTTGTTTTCCCAGACACAATTCCTGGCATATGGTGGTGGTCAGTCATTGTGACTAGTACACTCTTTAAAACAGTAGAAAAATTGAACTTGGACTTAGAAGACCTGAAGCTTTTCCCCTTTAGGACCTTCATAGATTTTGTGACTGGGGTGGGAGCATGTTGGGGTAGAGATTGAACTGAAAGCCTCATAATACTAATTTATGGCAACTTTTAAAGCTCATTTTGATCAACAGTAAATATACTATTTGTTCTGTTTACTTCACAGAATTGAAATAAATAAAATATGTTACAATGTCTTGTAAAATTAAGCACTGAAAGTTATTATAGTTTTACTTTGTTTTTTTGAGGCAGGGTCTCACTTCATAGTGCAGCCTGCCCTTAAAGTCACACTGTCTCCTAGGCTGACCCTGAACTCAAGACAGTCCTCCTGCCTCAGCCTCCTGAGTGCCGGTATTATAGGCATGCACCACCTTGCCTAGCTTTGTATAGTTCTTCAAATTCATGGTAAAGAGCTCCACTGAGTATGGCAGAGACTCCTGGCTGACCACCAAAACATCCCACTGTCTTCTTTCTGGGCATGAGCTGGACCCTTCTGTGCCTCCTGTTCCTATAGGCATGGTCCTGCGACTGAGTTCTAACTGATGAGATGGGTAGAAAGAATGGACTCCGCTTCCAGGACGGGCCCATGACATCTCCTGTGAGAGCCCCTCCAATTTTTTTTTTTCCTGGCTAGAATATAGACAGCCTTCAAAGTAACTTTGAAAGCTACACCTTAAATATAGAAAGCCTCTTTGAACCTCATATGTCTGCTAACTTCATCCATCCAATTCTGCTACATGAATAAGAAATAAACTTGTGTTGTGCTGGAATCCTATTGAGTTATTATACATTCTGAATCTACTTGTTGAAGCAGTTAAGCTGCATCTTTTACAAGGAGCATGCTAATGCATGCTCCACTTTTTCTTTAGAGAAGCATAATTTTCTAATAGTCTCAAGAATAATTATGTAGAAGAGTAATAATGACTATAGATTTGTGGACATATACTGTTGGTCACTGTAAAATTGAGAGATTTGTCATAGGAGAATTTCTAAAGAAAAAGCTTAGTTGGATAATTTTTTTCATTTTTAACATTCATAATGTATTATTGTTTGATATTGAAGCCACAGTCCCCCAAAACACAGGGGATATCTCTGGGTAATACTTTGCTTTAATATATATATATATAGTATCCAAATATTTTTTCCTTAATAAATAGTGCTCAAGATATACCATGTAAAATTTTCTGATGATGTAATCATGCTGTTTTTAAACAAGCATTATTCTAGTATCTCCAGCTCTATTTTTTAGATTATTTGACCCATCTCATAGTGATTTTTGTCTTGACAAGGAAGTGAGCTAGTTTTACTGCAAAAATTATAGGGTAAGACCTTTTTCAAAATACATCTATCTCTGAAACTCCATGTTATCTTCCAAAGGAGAGTTGAGAAAATTCAAATATGCACTTGAATTTTTATCTGGCAGCTTCTACCCAAAGTTGCCCAAAATAACTGATAATACTGGATCCTGTCATACTCTTAGGGGAAGGAATTCGCTTTAAATATGTTCAGGATGGACGTGCTAATACCTCTAATAGCAAGTGCAGTGTTAGTCTACTTAGCAGTCAAACTTTAACACTATGAACTTTCTAGACTATGTTGATTATGATAGTGAATAAAATACAACAAACGAGAGCCAGCCAAATGCTCAGCGGATTAAAGCTCCTGCAAACAGGAGCCAGGGTTCAATCGCCAGGCCTGCCATGCCAGCCCTACTCCCAGGGTGCACTGAAATGACAATTGAGACTGGGCATGGTGGCGGGCACCTGTAATCCCAGCTCTAAAGGAGGCTATAAACAGGCGGATCACTATGAGTCTGATCTAGTGGTGAGACCCTGAACACCCTGTAAACCCTTCCCTAAAAAAAAATAAAAAAAATTTAAAAAAAAACAATGTAGCTTTCACAGAATTCGCCTACTGCCTAAAAAGGGAACTACCCCTTTCTGAGGCAATAAATTTAATTTTACACATTATGTTTAGTAATCTTATTTCCCCTGGAAAGGTTGGGTGGTTCTGTGGTTACAGCTAATTCAAATAAGAAGCAAGTTGTACATAGCATGTTAGAAACAGGAAAAAAGAGATAAACTATACTATAGACTTTAGGAGAAAGACAAGCCAAAGGAAAGAAGAGACAACAAACTGTATAAATAGGCTGAGGGAGCTAAGCAAAATGAGAAGTTAAATCCTATTTCCTGGCTTACCTTTTGAGAGTGTTTTTTGATTTTGTTTGTTGTTTTGGTACTGGGGATCGAACTCTGGACCTTCAGCTTGCCAGGCAGATGCTTATGCCACTGAACTATCTCCCTGGCCCTGGGAGTGTTTAACTGTTTTGAGTTCATTTTGTTTTATTTTAGTACAGAGAATCAAACTGGGGACCTTGGGCTTGCCAGGCAGGTGTTTGTGCCACTGAGGTCTATCCCCAGCCCAGGTACTGATATTAAAAGTTAGCCTGAGTTTGTTGTGGTGGAGTGTACCTGTAACCCCAGCACTCTGGGAGGCTGAGGCAATAGTGTCACAAGTTCAGGCCCAGCCTGAGCAATTTAGTGACTTAACAAGACCCTGTTTCAGGCAATGATGGTGAGTTAAATTCCAAGTACTACAAAAAAAAAAAAAAAAAAAAAAAAAACAGACAAAAGTTTTCCTGAAATAACATAGGGCTAAATTATGTTTAGAATTATGATAGAAAGTAAAGTGAATTTCAGAACTCAGAACTATCTGGGAGTGTTCCCAATTACCTGAACATTTTATTTAATTCAGATTTCCCTTATTTCTACTCAGATATCTATTAACTTTTTAAAAATAATGCTTTTTAGTTGGATGAAAAAGTATGTGATTGTTGAGTACCCAGTCATCACCTTCAAATGTAATTTCTTCAAATTTTTAAATGTGCAACTTTTTGGGTTTCTATTCAGTTATGACAGAATGAGGCCACTTTTTGTGATACCATTTTTTTTCCTTTTTGTCTTTTTCCTTCCTTCCTTCCTTCCTTCCTTCCTTCCTTCCTTTTTTTTTTTTTTTTTTTTTTTTGAGATAGGGTCTCCTGCACAGCTCAGGCTGGCCTTGAACTCATGGCGGTCCTCCTGCCTCAGCCTCCCAAGTGCTAGAATTACAAGTGTTCACCACCGCACCTGGCCCACATTCCTTTTAAAAGTTAAAATATGATTGCATGAAGTTTTGTGTTTGGATTTTTAAAAATGAGATTTAATCCAGTTGACATTTTTAAAGTGCATGAATTTTTATATTTATACTCTTCTTTTTTAATAGAAAGTTATATCTATATTACGTATAAATGATCAGTTTTCTAGAAAAATATTTCAGAACAACAGAAATTGACTTCTAAACTTCTGTTTGGCAGATCACTACTTGTACTTGACAGATAAACTGAAAAGCATTTATTTTTGCAGTGTGTAGATAGAACAGAGACCTTGTAGTTGTATTGAAGATGAATCATGTTTTATTAAAGCATAACTGCGCTTACTCTTTATGGCTCATGAAAGACTGCCATCGAAAGCTGTAGTGGTTCTTATACATAGCAGGAGTTAAGAGGTACTGGTTGAAGAAATGAAGGAATGAGCATTGAACTAAGAGCAGCTGTTAGGGTCCACCAACTAGCTCAGCGCAGGGGCCTGCGATTGGATCCCCAGGCCTGCCGTGTTCACCCCACCCCCAGGGGGCGCTGAGATGGCAGTTGAGACAGCATGGTGACATGTGCCTGTAATCTCAGCTCTTGGGAGGTTGTGAACAGGTGGATCACTGCGAGTCGGATCTAGTAGTGAGACCCTGAACACCCTGCAGACCCCTAAAATACAAGAAAAAAAAAAAAGAGCAGCTGTTGTCTTAGAGGCCTGCTGCCAAGTCTTACTTATTAAAAGTTTTTTTTAACTGGAAAATGTTAACTATTATATGTTAATTGTATTTCCTTGTGTTCTGGGATGCAGGTGGCGATAAAAATAATTGATAAATCTCAGCTGGATGCAGTGAACCTTGAGAAAATCTACCGAGAGGTACAAATAATGAAACTGTTAGACCACCCTCACATAATCAAACTTTATCAGGTACAGCTTATCCTTATGCTTTCTATATTCAGTTTTGTATTTTGCATCATGTTTTTGTCTTTTTGTTTTTCTAACCTATGAACAGATAAGCATAAGCTAAATATATCCACTTCTCTGTATTATCTTTAAAAAAATTAGAAATGTAAAGTTAACTGGTAGCCTAATTTTCACATGGTCTCTCAAATTGCTAGTTATATATTTTAAACATTTGAATCACTATGTATTGTGTGCATCTACCATACCTGCTAGAAACTGCTGGGTTTTAGTTATAGTAACATCAATTAAGATATGGTAGTTCCACTACATGTTTTAAAAGCATACCATTTATCTTTCATGAAATAATTATGTTAGAGTGGCATACTTTGTAATATAGGCCAAGTATTTTTTGAGAACTATTTTATCAAATAAAGTAAATAAACCTTATTTTTAATTGGTTTTACTAAGATAATTTTTATAAAATAAATTGTGCTTCTTTTAATATGGCCTTTTTATTTTTAAGTAACATCGCTGGGGCTTTTTTTTTTTTTCCTCTTGAGACAGGGTCTTGCTACATAGCTCAGGCTGGGCTTGAACTCTTGATCCACCTTAGCCTCTCAGCTGCTGAGATTGCAGAGGTGCACCACCATGACTGACTCCATTTTCTCAGATTTTTAAGAGTGTTTCATGCCTAATAATAAAATAAATCATTTTTAAAGTTTCTATCCATTCATATATAGAATTTTTTTTAAATTGTAAAATTATTTCTAAACTACAAGGTCTCAGTCTGCTGATCTATGACTTTAATCCCCAACATACAATATACGTGGTATGCCAGAGTCAGTCTGTTCTGGCTTGTGAGACTGCTTATTAAGTTTCCAGAAGTTTTGTGAGGTGATAAACATCATGTAAGTAATCTCCAAATCAGCAATAAGGGGAGTAATTATACCATAGGAAGTGGCTTACAAATTAGGGCCTTTTGTGCTGAGAGGCCTGGTTTACTATCACAACACTTTTACTCAGATGCGTTAGGACAAATATCCTTGGAGTGTGAGAAGAAAATGTTACAACTTTGAACTATGTTTACAAATATTACAACTTCAAGTTGTGTCCTCTTGTGTGAATTTCGTAATGTGCAGAATATACTCATGTTGTAGCATATGTAAATTTATGTCTGTGTGTATACACATAAGTACCAGTGTTTATTTGTGTTGATACATATGTGTATATACACGTATATATATTTTTAATAACGTTTATTCATGGATATTTGCAGCAAAAAAGATCGGAGATCATTGGCTTATGATATGCCTTATAGTAATGAGAGACTATAGTGCCTTATAGTGTGCCCTCCAAAACATTTCCTAAACTTTTAAAGCTAAAGATACCTCAAGAGATAAAACTGAGTTAAGCTTTTATTTCCTGAAGAAGACACGTTTTAGAAACTAATCATATTCTTAGAATTCTCTGCTAAGTCATAAACTGAGCTGAGAATAAAACTGCCCTGATTCACTTGGTAATTCTGTTTTTGTGTACACTGAATGATCAATTAACATTGAATTACTACTTCATTTGTTTAGGTCCAAACTGTAGGCATCTGAGTTTTTTTCACCTAGTGGAATAGTGCTAACCTTCCATTTTAGAGCCAAATTAGTTTCTGTTGTTCAGTAGGTGGCAGTTAGAAGAGTGTTATAGACAAAGAAACTAGAAATCACTCATCTTGAATTTAAAAATGAATTTCTTTTCTAAATAGTAATTTATTCAATCAAAGTGGTGGCTATCCCATGTTTTCCTTACTGAACCTAGAAAACTAATTTCAATGGAAAATATTTAGCAGGACAGCTATGAAGATGCAGCTTTAAAACAATGTTTTAAAATTCTAGTAATTTGTATCAGTATTTTAGTAGGAAGAATATCACATTGTATTGGGTTAGGTAGGCTGTAAGCCAGACAAACTAAATTCTTCCTAAGCAGAAGTACTATGATCACACAGGGCTCAAAAATGTAGTGAAGAGGTATTGAAAAGTTGATCTTCAAAACTTTGTTATCTGCATTACTATTTCTCAAATTTTAATGTGCACAAAATTACTTGAAAATCTTGATAAGATGTGAATTCTAAGCCAGAGGTCTACATTTCTGATGGATGCCTGCTCCTCTGGGCTGGTAAGCCACGTCTAGAAGAGCAGCCACTTCTAGAGTTTTCATAAAAATATTCACAGAAAATTATGTCAGGCTTGTAATTGTCAGCTTTGTCAGCTTTCAAATTGTCCTTTAGGCCTGGCCAAATAGCTCAGCGGATTAAAGCTCCTACTTAGGCAGACAGCAGCTAGGGTTCATCCGCCCCCTACCCCCTGGGGAAGTGCTGAGAGGGCCATTGAGACTGGGCATATGGTGTGGTGTTGCGTGCCTGTAATCCAGCTCTTTGGGAGGCTGAACACAGGCAGATCACTACTAGTCTGATCTACGTAGTGAGACCCTGAGACCCTGTAGACCCTTACTGAAAAAAAAATTGTCCTTTACTCTGATTCTTTTTTTATAGTTTTAATTTAGGTAAATTTATAGAATGTTGTAATTTACGGTCCTTGTCTAATGTAGAATTATTTATCAATAGGTAATGGAGACCAAGAGCATGTTGTACCTTGTAACAGAATATGCCAAAAATGGGGAAATTTTTGGTAAGCTTTTTCTTTTAATTTTTCTTAATTTGAAAAATAGTTTATGTGTATGAATGGGGAATTGCCTACTAATTTTTCTGCTGGAGAGTTGGTAATTGAGTTAAAAATTTTAAGTATTAGACTTTAATAAACTGTCCAGTAAGCTAAAAATATGGAATGTAATTTATTGTGCTGCGTTTATGTTAAAGGTACTGCTTAGTTCTGTCATCTTTGTTAAAGAGACTAAGTAATCAAAGATGGGAAAGGCTTGTATCATATCATGAGAGATTTTTTTTCCTTTTATCTTCATTTTCACTTTTCTTTCCAAGGAAAAAAACCAGTCAGTGAATATTATTGAGTCCTGCTATGGCTTAGGTATTGGAGATTCAGTGGTAGCCTATAAACACTGTATCAGTCATTGTGAATCATGTAGTTTAGTAAGATATTTCTTGTGGCAGTCAGACCTCAGGCCAAGTCAGTAACCCTCTCCAAGGTTTGGTTCTTTTATCTCTAATAAGAAAATATTTGATGAGTTTTTCTCTATGATTCAATTTTGTCCATAACAAATGACATTTTGTTCTAGCTTTTGATCAAAATAGCTATTTATTTTTATTCTGTGGAGCCAGAATATAGTAGGTACCTAAATATTTTTTTGATACTTAACCAAAATTTAAATCCAAAACTTTTTTAATTTAAAGAGCTTTATTGAAGAGTAATTGACATACACTAAGTTTCCCTTATTTAATATGTGCAGTTTGGTAAGGCCAGTGACAGTGACCAGGAGGCCATCACCACAGTCGGGGTACCCATCTCTTCCACGTTTCTTTGTGTGCTCTGGCAAGCACTTACCTGTTTTCCATCTCTGTAGATTATTTCATAATGCCTGAAATTTTATGTTAATGTAATCATATAGTATGCTTTTTTTGTCTTCAGAGTAAAATTAAGATTCATCCGTTTTGTTATGCATGTCAACACATACAATAATTTCTTTTTGCTGTAAGTAGCATTACATGAATACATTCTAATTTGTGTATCCATCCATCTCTTGATGGATGTTTGAGTTGATGTCATTTTCGGCATATTACACCTCAGTAGCCATGACCGTTCACATACGAAACTTTCACTTGCACAGGCTGCCTTCAGATAGTAGTTACCAGTTCCCATTCGTTAGTATGAAAACTTTAAAATAATGCACTTCTATTGTGCTCTGCCTGGCTTTTGTGTTCTCATTACATTTTATGATCTGTAATCGATAAAACACAATGCATTATTATTTTTAACAATTATCTTTTACATAGGGCTGGGGAGATAGCTCAGTGCAATGCACACCTTCCTGGCAAGTGAAAGGTCTCGAGTTTGATCCCAAAACCAAAAAATAAAACAAAAAACAGTTATCTTTTACAGACATGTCAATGTTTTTTAAAACTATATTTACCACTGTGGTTGCCATTGCCACATTCCTTTACATGCATCTTTATCCTTTTGTTTAGATACATATTTTCATGTAGGGTCATTTTCATTTTGCCTGAATGAGTTTCTTTAATATTTTTTGCAGTACAGGTGACAAAATCTTTCAGGTTTTGTTATCTAAAATAATCTTTTATTTTACTTTTTGTTTTTCTTTCTTTCTTGCTTACTTCAGTACTGGGGATCAAGACCAGGTCCTTCTATATGTTAAGCGAGTGCTATCACTGGGCTGTGCCCCTGTATTTGCACTGGGTGCAGAATTCTAGGTTGTTTTGAATCTTTTGCTTAGATTCATACTTTTAAAGACATTCTACTGTTGTATTGTCTCCCTGTTGCTGGTACGCAATTCCTGATACCCACAATTTAAAGAAGTTTAGTTGACCTCTGCCTTAGGAGAGCCAATCCATGATCAGCTGGCTCCTGGGCAGAAATAGCATGGCAGGAAGGCATGGTGGAGCAAGGACGCTAAGTTGATGGCAGCTGAGAAGCAGAGCAGGTACCCAGTGTCAGGGAGGAAAGGGCCAAGACCCGAGATCACGCCTCTGTGAGCCACCCAGACACAGCCCAGAATGTCTCTACTAATGTGCCAGGCATCGCTGAATCCACACGTTATCATCACAACTAATGATCACTTCTTGTTTCTTATTTACAGTGGTTCTGACAAGAAATCTATGATTGGCTTTTTCTTTATTCCTGTGTACATATTACACCTTTTTCTCTGCTTTTAAAAGTTTCTAATTTTCATTGGGTTTAATGTGTGATTTTAACTGCTTCTTCTGGTATTCTTCATGATTCTTTTGTGTGGTGGTTATACAGTTTCTTGGACCTGGTTTTAATAAAATTAAGAAATTTTCAGGCACTATTTTCTTATTTTTCTGTCCCATTCTCCTATCAAAGATTCTAGTCAACTATGTATTGACTGTTTTAAATTTTTCCAGAGCTCACTGGATACTCTTTTCTATTTATAAAGAAATTCTTCTCTTTGTATTTTACTCAGGTAGTTGCTGTTTCCTTATCTTCAAGTTCACCAGTCTTTTTCTGGAGTGTCTACCCTGGCAATCTATCCAGTGTATTTTTCATGTCAGATATTGTATAAGTTTTAGAACTTGGCTAGGACTCTTTTACACCTTCCATGACTTGACGTACCTTTTTGAACATCTAGAATATAGTTATAATAGCTTTTACTGTCTGTGTAATAAAGCTAATTTCAATGTCTTTGTCAGTTCTGGATCAGTTTAGATTGGTTGATATGTTTCCTTAGTTTTGCTCTTATTTTCCTGCTTCCTGCAAAGATGGAGGGGTGAGATTGGAGAAGTTGATTGCAATATTAAATATGGCGGTCAGCGAAAGCCTCACTGAAATTTGAACAAAGACTTAAAAGCAGTCCTATAGCTATGAGGAAAGGAAGGTTATCCAGAGATATACAAAAACCCAGTGGCATCAGAATGCTTTATGTGTTCAGGATTAACAAGGAGGCCAGTCAGCCTGGAGAGAAGCAGGCAGGAGGAGAGAACAGGAGTGATTAGGAGGATTAGTAGATGAGGTTAAAAAGTAAATGTGAGGCAGGAGTGAGCTAGATTTAAGGCTTTGTAGGCCATTGTAAAGACTTTGGCTTTTACTTTGAATGAAAGTAGGGAACCATTCTTAGCAGGTTTCTTTTTTTGTCAGTAGCAGAGAAGTTACTGCTTATAATTAAGCTTTTTAAAATCATCATCATGACATTCAGTGCTGTGTTGAGAATAAATTATAGTGGGAGGCGGCAGGAATGGACCCAATAGGAGGCTGTTGGAGAAGATGACAGCTCAGGTAAGAGCTGAAGTAGTCCAGGGATAAAAGTGGTTGGACTCAGAATGTGCTTTGAAAGTAAAATCAGTAAGATTTTTCGACCAAGACCATTTAAGTAGTGATTATGACAATGGAAGAAAGCAGAATCTGATATCTGAAACACTTAAATATTAAAAGTTTGGGAGAAGAGGAAAAAGCCAGCAAATGAGATCGAAAGAGGAAAATAACACAAACATGGTATCCTGGAAACTAAGTGAAGAAAGTAATCTCTGTTGGATAGAGTGAACAAATGATGCCAATAGATCAAGAACTGTGAAAAGTAGCAGCTTTCCTTTGTGTTCAGCAGCTTTGGTGAAGATAGGTCAGAGGGGGTTAGAGAACAAGCAAGAGGAGTAAGAGAGAGAGAGCACAAGGACAACTCTTTCCAGGAGTTCCACACAAAGAGAGAAAAGAAATGGGGAGATGATCAAGTCAGTGATGTCAAAAAATCATTTTTAAGTTATTTGTTTGTTGAGACAGTCTCACTATTTTAGTTCAGGCTGGCCTTGGACTCACTATGTAGCCCAGGCTGGCCTTCAGATTATATCAATCCTCCTGTCTGTGCCTTACAAATGTTGGGATTACAGGCAAAGGATACCACAGCTGGCTGATTTTTTTTCATAAAGGTTATTTTTGTGTAAAATATCTAAGGTAAATGTGCCCTTTAAGTTCCAAAAAGGAAAATCTGATATAGAAAAAATGAACAATTGAATATTAGGTGTCTTATTTTCCACTGTCTGATGCAGTTAATTTCTTGAGCACTGAACATAATGAAAAATAGAATTAAATTTAGAAATATGATAAAATCTTTGGATAGTATTCACTATGTTAGAATGGAAGACTCTAAAGGGAAATTGAAGGTCACCTAGTTTACTTTATTTTTATTTACTGTGACTGTCAGTTGATAGCCCAAGAGAACTCACTGTCTTTCTCTCAAAAACCACTTCTCTATTTTTCCTTAATTGGTTCGATCATGTACCAGGGCACCTAAGCTGGGAGCATAGTGTCCATAGGGACTTGTCCCTCGTCCCTGTCCAGATGGCATGCAGTTCCCCCCCCCCAGCATCTCTCTTGATCCCCATTTCTCCATGCCTTCTGATTCTGTATCTGGACAGGGTCCTTGTGCTTTCTGTCTGTTATCAAGTTCCCTCCTAATTACATTTTGTACTTTATCTAGAATTGCCTTTCTAAAACTCAGTGATGTATGCTGCTTTTATTTGTAAGTTTTATATAATAATCATTAATTACCCAAAAAGGAATTTTGAAAACAAGGTAGTAGGTTTTTTTTTTTTTTTTTAGCAGTACTGGGGATTGAATTTATGACCATGCACTTGCCAGGCAAGTGCTTATTCTACTGAGCTATTTCCCCAGCCCTCAAGGTGGTAAGTGACATGAAAACAGTGTTTAATGAAAAATTTGAACCTATCTACATCTCCTGTATACATGAAAAATGCCATTCAAGCAACATTAATCAAGTAATTATATATACATATATATATATATATATGAGTAAAGGAAGACACACAAGTCCCCAAGACCTCTTACACATAGACAGACTTGGCATAGAATCTAAAGCTTGGCTCCCTGGGCACCACAATGAACTGGGGAAAACTTAACCATCAGGAAGAGCAAAAACCCAAAGCCCTCTAGGCATAACCTGGTGCAGATGAAGACCTTGGGAGAGCTGTTGAGAAGACAGAGGGTCTTGGTCACTTGTCTTGTTCCTGTGA